TTTCTTTTGTTATCGACAGCACGTCGATCCTGCCTTCGAACGCTGTAGCTATTCCGTGATGATAACGTGCGCATCATAACCGGATAAGTTGTGAAATATTATGGGAATGCAATATGAATCTTTATAATTTAGATTACAATTTGAGTGCGCGGGACCACGGTAACGACCGGTAAAATGGCAATGATCGCGTACCCGCGTGTCGTCCGACGCAAATGGTTTCTCGCAAATGTGACAACGCGTCGCGCTACGATATGCCTCCCACTGCTCTCTCGACAACGTTTCTATGGAGACATTCGTGGATAACAGAATTTTTACTTGATGCGCCAAATCTTCGAGTTGCCGAATGAACCACGCAACGCAATCTTCGCCGCGACGAAATCGATATACCGATAACGCGTCGTCGTACGAGCATCGCACGTAGTATCCGAAGCTAAATACCTCGTGCTGCTGGTAGATGTACGATGCGTCTTCCCTCTCTGCCGGTTCCTTTTGCCGTAGTACGCACTCCAAGTCCGCGTAAACGATGAATGGAAGTCGTTCCTTATTCGTGTGATTCTTGAATTCGAGCCACTTGTCGTCTTCACTCGACAGTCGGATGGCGCAATCGTTCATCTTTTCGCAGTCCATTGTATGTGACTGCAATCTTTCAGATGAACTGAAGTAATGTAGACATCTGCAAACGAAAAATATGATTTTTAGTATTTAATAAACAATTTTATAAGAGAAATAATAAAATTTGTTAAAATACATACCTGTCGCAAAAGTATTTTTTGTGTTCTTTTTTACTCAGTTGCGAGCTCACAAGACGGGACAGATCTTTGATGTACGCAAAGTGTCCCGCGTTGTCGTCGCGCGGATTCTGCACGTACAATAGATTTGGGTGCTTCTCCATCTTCCTTAAGGTCAGCCGTATCGGGAGAATCTCCTTTTCCTTGATATAGACGTAGACGTTGATTGAGATGTCGTTGAGATGTTCGAACTTCTTAATTTGGTTCAACGTCATCCGAAACGTAATGTCTTGCAAATTTAACACCATATAATGCGGGTACGACAATTCCCGATTTGTATTCCTTTCAGCCGGATGCAGAGCCGCGACCACCGACCACGCGAAACAGGCATTGTCCTTGGATCGTACATTGATCACCGCTCGCTTTAACATAATTTCTCGCGGTAATTCGATGTAACATCCCGCGTGCATTGGATTATATTTGTTCACGTTTACAGTTAAATTTAGAATTCGCGACAACGCCCATCCACTGTCGCGTTCTTGGAATTCTTCGAGCGACGCCAACGTGGGTTCGATAACGTACTGCTCGTACCACTCGTCCAAATTTGACACTCGAAAGAGTTCACTATTTTTAGTGTTTATACTTTTGTTCGCGCGTTTATCGCCCGTCACAAATTCACCGTTAAATGCAGTGTTCACTTTCACACTATCGTGTCTTTGTACAATATCTCGCACTTGCTCGAGCACTACACCACCAGCGTCTTCTAAAAATTGTCGCGGCTCGATGTAGTCCACATTGATCACCGTATCAGTCAATATACGGTTTTCAAATGCCGTATCGATCTCTCGCCAATCGAGAGATCCAGTGTCTCTACTCGCGTACTCACCACCAACGTGCACGAAACGTCTTTCTAGTTGTACTTTTGCACCCGCTAGTCGCGCGATCCTCGCCACCGCAGATTGTCTATTTGCAACGGTGAGTCGAGGACGCTTAACACGGCTAAATTCCTCGAGTTGTTCGATGCACTCCTCACATCGTTGCAATTACGCGAAACACTCCACCAAGGTAGCGACTTGGCTGCAGCTCGCGTTCCACTCGCTCTAGGTGTTCCATATTGCAAAATCTTGATTCTTTTAAATTGTTGTACTGTCTCATCAAAACAATTTTACATTTTTTTACTTTTTTTTTCTTTTCTCTATAGTTGTTTTAACTCGAAGCCAGTATATAAAGCGTTGTATTTCCGACATGTCCGGAGATTGATGGGAATAGAACAACCATATATGATTATCCTCGCTTCTTGGAATTATTTCTCCTACTTTTTGCCGCGAGAGAGGTAATAATATATTGTATGCGTGTCCTCTATATTGATAATATGCACGCTTCCAGAATTATTTCTGCTTTTTCAGAAGGAGCGGAGAAGCAGAGAGTCGAATTGTAGCCCCTTAACTCTTGGACGAGGAATGGGGAAATGGGGAGTTGGGGTATAGTGTCTCTTTATAAAATACGCCGCCACGTTCACTGGTAGATGAGAGATTGAATCCCATAACGGATTTTGTTAATTCTTCCAATGACCTTTCCATATTGTTTTTATATCACATCACACTCTTCCACGGAGCACTTGTATATGCCTCGTTCACAATGTTGTCTTTTTTCAATTTGTGCAAATTGGGCACATGTTGCATGGCATTATCATACAGACGGACTGTTGGCAATTGGAGCAAAATCGGCTATTTAGCGCATTGAGAGTATCTATCTCGTGCTTCCTAACGGCATACAATACTCCAATGTCAGTGTCCGCCAGACGAACCATGCATTCGGCACACAGAGTTAATGCACCACCCGAATAATAAAATTGTATTGAACAATACTTTTTATTATTATTCAACGCAAGGAGTTCCGAACGGGTAACAATTTTTTCTGCATAATCCGTAAGGTCATCACTTTGATCACTTATGTAATTGCTATCGTCAGACAATGCGTGCTCTTCGTCTTCAATATCAATGTCAATATTGTCAATATTGTCAATCTCTATTTCTTCTTCATTTTCAAACACTTCGTCCACTATATCCACAAAGTCTTCCTCATCCATATTAAACACATTTTCTATATTCAACACATTATCCATTTTCACCGTCACCTATTTTTTTCACACACATTAGACTTCCATCTATCGTGATCCTGCACACCCCATGACCCATTATATATCATCGACAATTTCTTTGTCCCTTTGTCGGAGCATCATCATAGGTCTCCCCAATTTGTTTATAGCAGCCAGAGTATCGGCGCTTCTCTTAACACGCCGCGACACGTACGCCGATTTCCACGAAAAAAAACCATCATAAGTCTCCCCGATTTGTTTATAGTAACCGAAGTATCGGCGCTTCTTTTGACACGCCGCGACACGTATGTCGCTTTCTACGAAGAGCTATCTTTTCGCGGGCTCTTCCTAGAAAATAAAATTTGAACGTCATCGCGTTCCTTTGCGAACATGTCGCTACATGTTTGATTGCAACAATGAAATTCCTAAAAAAAGGGGTAGCGGGGGGGAATTAACGGTTTGCCATGTCAAAAAATTTACGCGATCAGTCCTCCTCCATCGAACGATCTGCACGACAAAAAAGGTACTCCGCTCCTCCGTCATTCGAACAACACGCAATGTATTCCGCCAAAGGAAGCGCACCGTACAATGGCGAAAAACAAAAGAAGGAAACGCGTAAGTTGTAACGCGTAAGTTTCACCTGCATTTTTTTATTTTTTTCTCTTTTTCCCAATATTGTGCAATATTATATATTTAATTTCCACAGTATTTCGGTGGAGTGTCGCGCGGTGCGCTTACTGAGCAGACGTTACACTCTGACGGCTACGGGTTACAAATTTCTGGAAATTGGAATCAACGTTGGTCCACCGAGCTACATGGAGATCGCTCTGGGACAGGAATTGATACTGTCTCTCGAAACGTGGAAGGGACTCTACGAGCAGCGATGGAATATCTATAAATTGCTGCGAAACGATTACAACGATTACAAAGACAATTTTATAAGCGTCGGACTGTTAACCGTCAGAGTTTACCTGATGAACGACGTTCGACCCTCGTACGTCTTGAATCTTTGAACGTACGCGTAACGATGATCGAATCGACCCTGCGCCGTATGTTTGATCTGGACGAATGTATCGATGTGACATTCGATCGACTCGTCAGATTCGTCGATACGATCGATACCAAGTATACGCGATTCTCCAACATCGCGTCTGTTGTAACAGATCCCGAGGAAGTGCCGAATGCGATATGCGATTGCGATACATTCGATAGACGTCAACTCGTCGATTGCGAGCTGTTAGCTTTAGTTTTTAGTGTATAAGAAAAAACATAGT